TCTCTCTCTCTCTCTCTCTCTCTCTCTCTCTCTCTCTCTCTCAGCTCTGCTCCCATGGTGATGCCCACAATCGAGGTGCTTTTGCATCCTGCCGTGTAATTGGCATCATCCCATCTGGCCCCCATCTGTCTCATCTCTTCCATTACAAGGAATAATACTTTCTAGTCCCCTTTGTTTGCAGTTTGTTCATTTTTATTTTTTTGTTATTTTGTTTTTCCTAATATTGTTACTCATAGCCAGGCATGGTAGTACAAATTCTGAATCAGAAAGGTCACAAGTTTGAGCAGAGTCTTGGGGATTTAGTGATTTAGTGAGACCCTGTCTCAAAATTAAATCAAAAACAGGCTGGAAGGGGGGCGGGGTATGGCTCAGTGGACTAAGCGCTTCCCCAGCAAGCGCAAGGGCCTGAGTTTAATCCCTGGTTCCGCCAACAACAAAAAAACAGGCTGGGGATGTAGCTCAGTACAAAGGCTCTGAGCTTAATCCCCAGTTACTCATTTATGTTTATGTAGAATTTAAGCATAAAGTTAAGCATTTTAAAATAATCTGGTTTAAAAGTCAGATTATTAAACTCCCTAGGTTGTTCACAGCCCTGACAGATTTAACTTCACACACAAAAACGCTTGCATGCTCTTCTTCTGAGGTGTAAGTGGAGGCTTGTCTGATCCCACCCACCCTTCGGTCACTTCTGCTGTCTCCCTCCTCCTACACTTCTAAATATACTTCTGTCTGGGCTGACCCTGGACCCTACTCCTGTCTCCAGCAGGGCCTTATCATTCTTTTCTCTGTCTGCTTTTAAGATAAGTGTCCCCTTTGTTCAGAAAGATGTTTACCGTATTTGGACATCCTTGCAGCATTCTCTTCATTGTTTGTGACCCAGATCCCTTTGATTTAGACCTGTGGTGGCGGGGGACTATGCCATCCCTCAGGCTTCAGTCAGGTTGCTGAGTTGGACAAGCAGGACTCTAGTCCAGGCATTCAGTGCTTGCTGTAGTGGGATTTTAGGCTCTGTGATTGATTGATGGATGGATGGATGGATGGATGGATGGATGGATAGATGGATGGATTGATTTTTTTAATGTATCGGGAATTAAACTTAGGACCTTGCACTTGCCAAGCAGGTACCACCTGACTCTTTGATTTCTTACAGAGTGTTGTTATAAATGTTGTAAATGAGGGGTTAAGGGAAGGGGGGAGCGAATGAGGAAAAGAAGAATCAAGTTATATTGTATAGGTATAAATTCTCTGTGATGAATTTGATCATTATGTATATCTAAACTGTACCAATAAAATCTGATTGGAAAATGAAAAATGAATGAATGAATGAATGAATGAATGGTTATAAATAACCTAGTGGTTCTCTTTTTATAGGTACATTCTGATTGACTGGCTGGTAGAAGTTGCCACCATGAAGGACTTCACAAGTCTGTGCCTTCACCTGACAGTGGAATGTGTGGACCGGTATCTGAGGAGGAGGCTGGTGCCCCGGTACAAGCTCCAGCTGCTGGGCATCGCCTGCATGGTCATCTGTACCCGGTGAGAAGCCCATTTGTCCAGCCAGCAGGGCTGGTGTGTGAATGTGCTGGCTCTTCTTGGAGGGCATTGTCCTTCCTGTGCTAGTGGATAGTTCATAAGGGAAGTAAGTCTTTTTTTTTTTTTAATTTTATTTATTTATTTGTGTTTGTGTGTGTGTGTGTGTGTGTGTGTGTGTGGCCAGCTCAGCCCACCAGGGGGCGGGGCTGGCTGGCTTGTGGTGCTGGGGAATTGAACCGCGGTCCCTGTGCTTTGCTAAGCTTGTTCTAAGTAGGTGCTTTAGACCGCTGAGCCATCTCACCAGCACCCATAAGGGAAGTAAGTCTTAAAGGTCAGATCTGGCTCACAGGTGAGGATGGCAGAATTGAGCCTTGACATGGCCATTATGCAGGCACATGTGTCCAGGCAGCTCATCTTGGCATATGGTCTCAAAACCCAGAGCATGAACTTACACAGGCACAGCCTGGACCACGTCTCCCCTGGTTCCTGAGGGTGCTGGTGCCAAGGAGGGTCACAGTTGGCTGCCTTCCTCGTTTTTGGTCTTCAGACTTCACAGAGAGAACCATGTCTCTGCAGTTGAGTTTTCTTGTTTTCCTAAACCCCACATTCCCAGCCTAAGCCACTACTTCCACTAGAAGTACGTTCCAGACCCACTAGCCTTGGCTGGGTGGCTTAGTGAATAAGGGCTAAGTAGCTCTGGCTGTACTTGGCGATGATGTTAACTGCAGAGATTTATTTCCATCTTGCATAGTAGCCTAGAGACAAAGGATCCAAGGTCACTGGGATTTTTTTGTTTCAAGAGGCCATGAAGAAACCTTGACTGTCATCTTGCTCTTTGCCACCCTCCAGTGTCTGCCCTTGTCCCCATGATGCACCACAGCTGCTGTGTACACCTTCCCACACAGATGAGTCACATTGCCATGTCTAGCCAAGACAGAAGCTGTAGTCCCTTTGGGTGGGTATGTGCCGGCTCAAAACAGGGTCATAGTAACACAGAAGGGAGTGAAGAATTCAGGGTCCATGAGCACAGCCTGCCACACCCAGCCCAGAGCCCCTTCGTATGTTCCAGGTCTTCTGGCAACATTCTAGGTGCTGCGACCCAAGATGCCAATGAACAGGTGGGGCTGCTGCCTCCCTGATCTGACAGTACGGTTACATCATTGCAGTCTCAGATCCAGTTACCGGACTACAGCGAAGCAGATTGTAACTTCCGGAAATGGTTTTAAAGGCTGAGATGTGCCAGCACTGCTCTTGGGGTAGCGCTAGACCCTGTCCTCACTCGCCCCCATCCACACCGTAGACTCCCTCCAGGGCAGGGGTGTTAGTAGCCCATTCACATCCCCTCTTTTGGGCATGTGTGGCTTTTGTACTGGGAGGTGTATTCCCTTTCCCTTCTGTCCTGTCAGGCCAATGACAAATATGCAAACTCTAGAAACCCAGGACAAGCAAGTAGCAAACAAACTAGCCCTGGTCCATTCTCACCAGGGATATCATCTTCAAGGCCTCTGGAGTAGGATGTTCTGTGATGGTTGGCATTGCCAGACAGTAAAGGGTACCACGTATCTCACGGATGACATTCAGAACTGCTGTGACCAGCTGCCATGTTGTACACGTACCTTCAGATAACCTCTAAGGGCTTTACTTCTTTTTTTTTTTTTTAAATTATTTTTTTATTTATTTGAGAGAGAGAGAGAGAGAGAGAGAGAGAGAGAGAGAGAG